TAAAGAAAACAAAGGGAAATCACTCTAACCTTTCCAATATCAAGCCAGATAGAGTAACCTCCCCTGAAGAAAACAAAGGGAAATCACTCTGACCTTTCATTATTAAGTCAGATAGAGTTACCTCCCCTTAAGAAAACAAAGGGAAATCACTCTGACCTTTCATTATTAAGTCAGATAGAGTAACCTCCCCTGAAGGAAACAAAGGGAAATCACTCTGACCTTTCATTATTAAGTCAGATAGAGTAACCTCCCCTGAAGGAAACAAAGGGAAATCACTCTGACCTTTCATTATTAAGTCAGATAGAGTAACCTCCCCTGAAGAAAACAAAGGGAAATCACTCTTACCTTTTATTTTTAAGTCAGATTGAGCAACCTCCCCTGAAAGAAACAAAGGGAAATCACTCTGACCTTTCATTATTAAGTCAGATAGAGTTACCTCCCCTGAAGGAAACAAAGGGAAATCACTCTGACCTTTCATTATTAAGTCAGATAGAGTTACCTCCCCTAAAGAAAACAAAGGGAAATCACTCCAATCTTTTATTACACTCAAACCTTTCATTTTTAATTGAAATATCCTGAAAATTGCAAATGGCGTAAGAAACTAAAAGGAAATCACTCTTACCTTTTATTACTAAATCAAATAGAGAAACCTCCCCTGTAAATTGCAAATGGTGTTAGAAACCAAAGGGGAATCACTCTTACCTTTCATAATTAAGTCAGATAGAGTAACCATCCCTGAAACTTGCAAATGGCTCAGAAACCAAAGGGAAATCACTCTTACCTTTCATAATTAAGTCAGATAGAGTAACCTCCCCTGAAAATTGCAAATGGCGTTGGCGGCGAAAGGAAAATTTCACCATTACATGTTTAAATCTTGAATACTGCTAAAGCTTTATAAAACAGAACCAACAATATTTTCAATTTTTGCCCTTTCGGATTTTTCTTACGGGGGGGTGGGGTTCGTTTTCTCTCTATTATATTATGAAAAAATAGAAGGAGGCGCCGTGTTTCCCTTCAGTTTTATTGAGAAATAGGAGATAGTCCCCGGGTTTTATACCTGCCCGTAATTTCCATACAGGGGCAGGGCGTCATGCATTACTTAAACTCGTCTTTGTGAATCTGCTTTTGTCTTATTAAAAATGTTACTGTGTAAACGTGATCTTGTAGCTCTACAACTGGAAACACGCTTCCTTAAACCATATTTTCTGTATTCGAGTTTTCATTTCAATTCATTTTGTACATTTGTCTTGTCTCAGCAAACCTGCTTATATATGTATTATATCCGATGGAAGATACGAACATGTCTTTTTTACGTTAGGTCAGTTGTTCAGATCTATATTTAAACTTCGTTATTTAAAAGCTGGAACCTTCGATTAATATATTGAATTTAGAGTAACATTTTTACAGTACACGGATACAGCCAAAAATGCTAGGCATACACGTTCGCATTTTCAAAAATAGTTTTCAAAATTGACATTTACTTGTCTGGAATTTTGGCAACGGGCGTCCTTCAAAGAAAACTATTTCTGTGCTTGGTGATCGGTTTCGTCGTCGAACAGGTTAATAGAAACTGTTTTGCATTTGTAACATATTTGCTTTAAGTTTCATGTAGATAGAGAATTTAATTACAAAACACAATCTATTTTTAAAAATAAACTTTGCTCAATTTTGGTTGAAATGCTTTCGTTGCAGAGTTTTTTCTTAAATCTAGAAAACTCTTACCTAATAAATCTGAGTTGAATAACAAACTGCAAAAAATATGTTTGGAAAGCTACATTCCATTTAAGTGGTCCTTTCTTTAAAAACTGTATAGTGTCTTTAATACTGTATTAAGCTTTACCGTGTAGAGTTTGAAACGTATAAAATTTATCTTTTTGTGCTTAAAAATGTTTATTTTACGTATAGCAATTAACAATATTCTCAAGCATCAGAACTGAGCATAATATATCTTTAAAATGTAGAAGAGACGATTGAAAGAATTGTTGTCATTAAAACTCTTGTACTTTTACTCTATGATTATTTGTTTGTCTCTTTTCCTTATTCTCCAAAGTCTTATAATTAGTTAAAAACTTTATTCTATGGTGCTACCAATTTTGTTATATAATGAGGTCTGGGGTACAAACGATTGCAAAAAAATAGACAAAATTTATGTTTAATTTTGCAAGTATATACATGTACTTGGTGCGTTAAGTGAGTTAGCAAGATGTCCTCTTTCTGTTAGTTCCAAAGAAATAAATTGACTCTTAAATTCTGGTAAAATATTATGAAAAACTAGGACTCACCAATATACAATATATGTGTAGACCAGTGCAATAGAAACAATATAAAACTCTTGTTAAATAGCTTAAGTTGCAGTCATATATGGTGCAACGTTTACTTAACTTTTGATTATATGCCAATGTTAAAGCAGCGACTGCGTGACCAATATATACAGAACTGAAATACTTCTATAATACATAACATGCCCGAACTTGATTTTACAGAAAATTTGAAACTGCTTTTTGTTATGAAAATATCTTGATGTTTTAACAAATAATGTGTTAAGAAAAGAACTTGCTTGTTTCAGACTAGCCTCTCATAACTAAGAAATAAAAACTAAAAGAATTTTGAACATTGATATAAATGATCGCAAATGTAAATTATGTATATATAGCTCTATTGAAACTTAATACCACTCCTTTTTGTGTTGCCCAGTTTATACTGTTATAAGAACCAAATATTTTGGAAACATTTCATGGCCTTCTGTATATATATTTTCGACTACATTGTCCACTAATAATAAAAAAAAACTAATTCTTAAATACGCACACTTTTTTAATAATGAATTAATGTTTAGACAACATTCACTGGAATATGTAACTGCTTCTTAGTTTGATTCTTGTATTCTTTGTGCTATGTATTGTACACTAAAGTCAAACTATTGGCCATATTTGTCATGATACTCTGTGAATGGCCAAAGGTAATGTTTATTTGCTGGTTCCCTAATAAAATGAAATTAAATGATTCTTTTATCTTATATGGCAAGAAAATGAGAATAAAGACCAGCAAGGCAAGGCAACGTTCACAGAACGCAGCGTCCGAATCACCAGTAGGGCACCCAGAAGGCACCGAACTTAAAAATGGGAGAAGACTCAAGGGTGCTGAAACGAGGGGAGGTAAAATAATAAGAACTAAAACAAGGCCAATATTAATGCAATGTTAGAATTAACCAGAAATGTGTCCATAGGACACGGGTGCCCCCAACGCGCCACTGTTCTGTCAATCTTATGACTCTAGGTCAAATATCTTTTACTAAGTAAAGGGCAAGAACTTTACAACTCTGAATAAATCCACAAGCAAACCCCAAGGTGCATAAGTACACATGCTGACCAACATTCTTGTAAACTTTCAGGCCTACAAGTGAAATACTTTTTGAGCTATGCATGAACAAGTTGAAAATTGCAAATTTATACTACTGTAAGTCAAGGGAAATAACTCTAACAAAACTGAAAAAAATCCACATGTAGAGTCCCAGGTGCATAACTTCACAGTGTCGGAATCATTATTCCTGTAATTTAGTGATGTTGATCATTATTCCTGTAAAGTTGGTTGGTTCTAACTAAAGCACTCAAGGAACAAATAACACCATAATGAAACGGTTTTTACTAAGTCAAGGGAAATAACTCTACAAATACTGGATAAATCCACAAGCGAAACCCCAGGTGCAAAACTAAATATGCTAAGCAACCTTCCCATAACTTGTTTAATGACTCTATGTCAAATCCTTTTTGAGTTACATGCGACACAAGTTGAAAATTGCAAAAAATTTCTAAGTCAAGGGCAATAACTCTAAAAATACAAAATAATCCAGACGAAAATACCCAGGTGCACAACTACACATGCTGATCAATATTCCTGTAAAGTTTCATGACTCTATGTCAAATCCTTTTTTGAGTTACATGCGACACAAGTTGAAAATTGCAAAATTTTACTAAGTCACGGGCAATAACTAAAAAAATACTAAATAAATCCAGACGAAAATACCCAGGTGCACAACTACACATGCTGATGAACATTTCTGTAAGGTTTCATGACTCTAGGTCAAATGCTTTTTGAGTTACATGCGACACAATTTGAAAATTGCAAAATTTTACTAAGTCAAGGGCAATAACTCTAAAAATACTAAATAAATCCAGACGAAAATACCCAGGTGCACAACTAAATATGCTGATCCAACATTCCTGTAAAGTTTCATGACTCTATGTCAAATACTTTTTGAGTTACATGCGACACAAGTTGAAAATTGCAAAATTTTACTAAGTCAAGGGCAATAACTCTAAAAATACTAAATATATCCAGACGAAAATACCCAGGTGCACAACTACACATGCTGATCAACATTCCTGTAAAGTTTCATGACTCTAGGTCAAATACTTTTTGAGTTACGTGCGACACAATAGAGAACGGACAGACGGACGGCCGTACCAATTTTCAGGTTTATGAGCTATTTCTATTGTTCTTTTCTTTTGTTTTCTTGTGGGCTACCTATTGTTTCCTTATGAGCTAAATTTTTATTTACGGAATGAAGTCCTTTGTTCTCTTTTGTCCCAGTGTACCGTTAGTTAGCTCATATATCTAAACTATTTGTGCGGACGGACGGACGAACGGACAGGCGGACAAGGGTAAATCTAAATGCCCGCCACTAAAGTGGGGGCACAATAAAAACTAATAACTAAAAGATAGAGAAAACGTTATGAGCAATGGAAAGTTGCTAAATTTTGTGTCTAAACTTATCGATATCAATTATCTGTTAATTTGTGGCTCTCATTACTCAGAGACCAAAGCAAAATCCTGTATCAAGTTGTTTTTTTTGGAAATATACTTGAAACACTTAAGTCTGAAAAGAATTATTTCTATATTCTGATGAATTCTTAGAATGTTGATCGTTTTATAGCCAAACCCAAAATCCCTAAAGAAAGCACAACACGGCAAAATTGCAAAATTGACAACAAAGAATGGCAAATTCTCTGCACTATTTATTGACATAATAGAGCGTCTGAATTGAAAACAGGCTGCTTTCAATTAAGAAAATAGGTGACCAAGTTGTACATGAAAGAACTCAAAATGTTTATGCAAATTGCCAAAAAAAGAATAGTTTATCTTCACTGAAAGTAAATAGTAATGCACTTTCTTAAAGTTTCTCATAACTTGTTAATACAAAACAGTTCTTGAATTTTTTGCCTTTTCAAAGATCAAATAATATTTTCTAAAACAAACTAGTTCACAAATATACGCTATCGTGCAGAAGTAATGTCCAGGTCTTCAAGGAATGTCATTTTCCTTTTCTTTTTGCACCTTTTACGTGGTCCCGTGGTCAAAGGTCGTATATTGTTAATTTCGTCACCAGCTCTTTTCTGTACTTCTTCAACAACTGCTTTCACCTGCATAATGATAAAAATAATTATGTAGCAATTTCACATGTTAATTACTGAAAGTTATTTCGTGTTAGTAAGACATTTTTTACCCATTTCATTTGCAGTCATGTTGAAATATACACTACAGTCTTATTTATGCATATTTCGTACAAATCAAATGTTACAATAATATGTAACTAAACATATAATACTAGTATTTGTTTACAAACCTACGACTAAAGATGCTATTATCTATTAGAGAATTACTTCGTGTCAGTATTTCATTGCCCTTTAACTACACGACTTCTTGCTCAAAATGAGTCTTCCACTAGTCATAACAAAACTTCAAACACAATTTTAGGACTGTATGCTTTCCCTTGATATTGGTGAGAAAAGAAGGTTGTAGACACCAAGCTCGCGATGACCTTAAAGAAAAAAGTCATAGACTTGTTATTGGCAAGTCAGGCATTTCCCAAATAGCAACGCTTTTGCACTAATCACGCTTTTGATAAAGAAAGGTAAAGAACAGACATTTGAACCTTTTAAGTGGGGACGTGAAAGGAAGGTAACCGTCGACTGCAATTACGTCAAAACTTTATGACACGGATATGTATGTTTCCTGTTCGGCCATAATCGGGCACCTAACTGTTCTAAAAGTTCAATTTTGCAGAAACAAAACTATCTAGAAGATCAAAAGTATTGCTTATTAAGTCATGTGCATTTCATTGCAGTTCGTAAAACCTTGGAGTCCAGAAAATTGGATAAAAGTGTTTATAACTAGCATATTACATTCTTCACAAATGAATTTAAACCGACGTACCCATACAAAGAATGTAGCACATCCTGCACTGACTTCACGAATCTGGTCTATACTGTATTCAGGGAGAAAGTCTCCAGCTCCAATGGCAACTTCCAAGGGGCATGCCTCAATCTTAAACTCTATTATCAACCTCTTCAATGACTCATGTCCCGTTTTCCCCAATACCATCTGTACATTTTTCCATTCCTTAAATCCAAAATAAAATGTTTACAAGCAAATAACAGACACAATTTGTACATATAACCATGATAACTGAATATATTCAACCCGTTTGGCGACACTGAAATGTTCCGAGGTATGTATAAACAATTATCAAATAAGGACTTAAAATTATATATTTATGATTACAAATAAACGTGTAAATGTGTGTGTAAATTGGTGGCTCAAATATAATTAAGAATAATTCCACGCACAAACTGCTTCTTAATTCAGTATTTAGCACAGATGTTTTCATTTCAATTACATGTTACATTATTTTGTTGTAGAAAACAATTATCATAAACATATTAATCTGATAAGGTATGTTTGCAATTAAATCATCTATAGTTAATTATTTGATTTCTTTCTTTTTTCCTAAATAATCACGCTTTGGAGTTTTTCCTAAGGCTAGCACGTGCGCAACAAAAAAGGAAAAGCGACCATGACACATTTGCATTAAAATTTTCAGGGCGGGAATCAACATGAAGCCTTTCGTTCTACTTTAAATTTTCATAAAAATTAATCATATTATGTCTTGTTTAAAACTGGAATGTTAAAATACATCATTTTCTATATACATGCATGATTTTAAGAAAGGGTTAACGAACAAACGTCGGCTCTGCTTTCCTGTCCAACATTCTCAAATGTTCACTGCATCATATCCCGCCTTACACACATTCAACTTTAAATATCAAATATTTCATTGATTTCATTTTCGTTTATACATACGTATCTCCGCTTGCACGTATTTATTCTTTATATATTTCTATGTTTACCTTGGTTTCCTCTGCCCAATGACCAAGGAGAAGCAATGTTGACATCATAACTGCATGGACTATAATAGGTGGACTACTGTATCCTCTTATTTCAGCTATTGTAGATCGATCTAAGTCTAGTACCGCATGCAGTAACCACTGGAGCTTCTTAAATCTATAAACAGAAGTTTTTTTGAGGAAGCTGATCGGCATTTCAACTTAACGGTGGAAGTGCAACTTCAAATGGAATGAAAATAATGAAATATGTAATACCAGTAACAAAATATTACTAGTATTGTACATTGCCACTTTAATATGTTCATCGTGTCTTAAATTGAAATAGATTTACTTGGATATGCATATAAAATAACTTAGATGGCATTTATTAACGTCTAAATTCATTGCTTTGAATAAAAGGAAGAAAAGAGCATGCATTCGTCGCATTTAAGAAAAAGGTTATAGTCATACCTTTGGAGTAGATTCCTTGCTACAGAAACCTCTCTTTCAAGTTTGTCTTCCACGTTTGCGGTCTTGACCTTCTTTAGACTTGCTTCGATCAGCTTTATGTCTCTATCACGAATTCTTTCTTGTAACTCTGTTATTTTTAAAAAAAACTTTTAATGTAGTATTAACAATGATTAAAGCTAGGCAAAATTTACTACATGTATATGAAAAGAAATCATAACGCTAACTTATGAAACTGAAATGATAGAGTTGCTACAATTAACACGTTTTAGATTTGGCGACACTTATAAGTGTTGTAATAACATAAGCTTTCATCCTTTTATATTTCTATCAAAGCATTGAAAGACTTAGCTTCAAAGAATAGGTTTCGTCACTTTTAAACTACTGTTGGTATTATTGTTTTCTTTGTAATACAAAAAAAAAACCTGAATCGCACGACTTCTAAAATATTTTTACTAACAAGACCTAACCGTTGAAAAAGCTCGGGATATGGGTCAAACAAATGTTACCACTGTTATTCGTTCATATTCATATTGTTGTTATTAAAGAATATATCTTTTTACAAGATAGCTATCATTACTATAAATTGATAGCAATAGATGCAAGAACTGCAAATTAAAGTAAAATTGTTTTTGACAATGCTTTAGGAAACAAACTTCCGTATCCGGGAGGGAAAGGTTGCAGATGTTGATTCATTGCTAGTGACCACTGCCACTTCCATTTTTCTTCATTTGCAAAAACCCAAAAGCTATTTTACTAGCTTGTTAAGATCAATGTTATTAATCAAGTGACAAGTCAAACAGTGTACGTATTGCAGCTGAGGTCATCATCTACCATTAACACGGTCACCTGATCCTCATCCTGTGTCCTTGGGACATTAAGGAGTCCGTTTCTCTCTATATTTAAAACCCATAAGAAACATGCATCATCAGAGGGGATTAATACCTCGGCATGTCGGAAATTAGATAAAGACTAGAAGTTGTAGCTACAGAGCAGCTGTTAAAGTATGCTACGTAAAGTTTTCAAAACACCATGTCTTTACTGTGAATAAAGAAAAATGCATGAAATGTCCCTTGGGTAGTCAGTGTGTTCATAACATTGAATGGCATCAAATTATTTGTGCATGTTGTGTAAGCAAGACGACCATGTATTTATATGCACTAGAAACATGAGTCTGATACTCAATCTTTGCTGGCACTTAATAGAAAACGTTCATAAAATTCCAATTATCACAAGAGGGACAAAAAACAAAGATGTTTAACTTATTTATGTTTAATGATATTTTGGCAAGATATGGCCATGGCTGACATAAATTCTAAAACATGACACTAAAAATACAATCGCAGTGTATGTAAGATTCAAATATCGGAAACTATTTAAACTTAGATTTTAGAAACTGCAGTGTAGTCGTTAAGTAGTAACTCCGGATCAATCGGAAGTACGTTTAGACAGTAGAGTAGCTCCGGAACATCGTGAGCTAAACATAAGATGTGAATCACGCTTCCTTATAAGAAAGGCTATATGGCGATCACATTACTCCGGAAAATCGGGAGAAGAACTGGCTCCGGACTATCGGCAGCTTGTAATATTACTCCGGAAAATCGGATGCAGAACACCGGAATATCGGAAGTAATTAAAATTACACTGCATAAATGTATTTAAAATTCATCAATGATGATAAAGCTTAATATTTACCCTGCGATTGTATCTTACTATATATGAAATGTGTTATACATAAATATAATGTAATGTTATAAGTGACAGTACGAATCGACATTAAGCCGTAGTTATAAGTTCACTGTATATGTCCATACATATGTCTAGTTCATAATAACGTAAATCTCACTAGAGTTAATGCTGTTAGAGGGTGATCTGATGAAAAATTCTTATAATGTATGTAAAACATGCACAATCACATTATGATTATATAACTTCAGCAACATGACAATGAATGTTCCTTTGCAGTAATGTCCTATATTCACGAACAAGACATCAGATCTCAAGAGAGCCCTCCAACGTCAGCCATGACAATGTTGATGCAACATGCACATATATAAACGTAGTTGACTTGTGCAGCAAATTCTGAAAAATAAAATTAGAGGGCAGCGAGAAGTTTTGTTCATAAAATTGCATATAATTTGGGTTGGGTGGGTGGGAAATAAAATATTTTTCTCCAACCTTTCTCTTCTATGTCCAAACGAAAAAGAACCCCGTTCTCAGCTTTTGGCTACGCTATGACGAAATTCATAATGACGTCACAAGTACCATGCGGCCACCATGTGCGTAATTGAAATAAGGTCTGAAGATTTGTCGCCCTTGGTGATAACTACTATCATTTAAAGACACGCTTGAAATGACAGGAAATTTATCACAAGAGGGACAAAAAAACAAAGATGTTTAACTTATTTATGTTTAATGATATTTTTGGGCAAGAAAATGGCCATGGCTGACATAAATTCTAAAACAGGGAACTAAAAATACAATCGCAGTGTATGTAAGTTTTAAAAAATATCGGAAACTTTTTTTAAATTTTAAAATTTTTAAAACCCTGGCGTGAAATTTCTTTAAAAGTGTAACTGGGTTTTCCCAACCCGGGAAGTAACCTTTAGACTTTAAGAGAAAGCTCCGGAAATCGTGACTAAACAAAAAGATGTAATCACCCCTTCCCCTTATAAGAAAGGCTAAAAATGGCGATAAACATTACTGGGGAAAAATGGGAAAGAACTGGCCCCGGACTATCGGCAGTTTGTAATTTTAACCCCCGGAAAATGGGAGCAGAAAAACCCGGGAAAGGGAAAGAAAATTTAAAATTAAAACTGAAATAAATGTTTAAAAAATTCCCTAAATATGATAAAGCTTAATTATTTTAACCCCTGGCAATTGTATCTTACTATATATGAAATGTGTTATACATAAATATAATGTATGTTATAAGTGACGGTACGAATCTACATTAAAGCCAAAGGCGCAAGCTCATTTGGCTAGAAAGTAGCCAACAAAGAGCAAGCCCGCATAAAGAAACTAATCGTATGGGGGTGATGATTCGGAAAGCTGTCACTGTCAGCCGGATTTAAAATATGCTAGGAAAACAGTTACTGCTCTGTAAAGATGATATTGTAAATCCATTCCTGAGAGTGTCAACCATAATGTCAAGAACCCTTAACAGATAAATGAACATTAATCTCTAAAGAATTCCTGAGACTCTTGAATATCTGGATACCTAATAATATCCGACCAACCGTTTGTAATACAGAATTTAGCGCAAAGAACTAATTTAATCTTTTTCTAGCCTTATCCAACTTTTGTGGTTATTTTCTCCTCTATAAATATAATCTTGGAAGAACCCCGGACCAGACAAGACGTACTCCAGGAATACTAGATAATACAGTGGCAAAATTATTTGTAAGTAGCCATTTACAATAGTCTAAAGGGGTTTTCCCAATATTATTGCCTCCACAATGTATAATTATGGCAAACGGTAATTTAAATTACAATTCAACATTGTATTAAACTCATGAAGTAGGCCTTCAGTCAGCAAACCAGGCTTAAATTTCCAGGTAATAGTTATATTTTCTAGACCGAGGTCCTTCCCATACCTTTGTTTGGCATGATAGAAGGCATTCCTTATAATAGATGAACCAATAATCCACACATGTGTGTTATTTATTTCTAATAAAGAAACATTTGGGTTAAACTTTTAAGTATTTTCAAAATAGTAATAATAAAGCATAGCTTTTTTTCTTTATCATAATTACTGAGCCATTTACTTAGGGAGCTCGTGTCTATTGGGTGTTTGACCTAATACCAAAAGGTTTTTTGATTAGGTTGGAATCTTGCTGGATCTCCGGTCTGAATAATCTTGGGTCTGAAAGGAATTTGTTATACTGGTTGAACCCCGACCCAGGTCTGGTCGAATGGAAGGTGCACGACATACATACAAAGGATGATTGCACTGCATTTTTTACACTTGTGTTGATAAAAACAACCTGGTTTGTTACAAAAGCCTTTTGTATTGTAAATCAAAACATATATTTTGGGTATATACTGTGGTACAAAAGCATTATGATTTGCTGTCATTGTAATGAGCCAAAGCTCAGCATCAATTACTGACCAAGGCGTCACCGGGTGTTGCGCAAAATATTTCTTCTAAACATTTTATCATATTGTGCCCAACCAGATGGGTTCCTTTTTAGCAGCTAAACGTAATTGTATTTAAGTACTGCAATAAATGTTTAGCTAATAATGGACTTTTTGTAACCATAAATAATATGTATATAAATCAAAAAGGCATCAGTCTACCTTTCGATATTTAAAACTGTATTTTTCTTAATGGCATTAGATATCACCAACTCGCCATTCACTAATTTGATGGATTGTTGTCCATCTTCTTCTTTTTGCAAGAGAATAGATAAATCAATGAATTCCCCCTGCCATATTTGTTCTTTAAGTTTTTTGGGAATATGAAGTGACAAATCATTACAAACAGAATTGAAAGGCGAGTTAGTACATGTATTACTTATTGAATTATTATTAAAACTATTACCCGATATAGCAGTCTGGTCAGCTGATGCGGTCTGAGCCTGTGGTTGCCACAAGGTATGTTGTTGTATTGGATTACCACCTTGACAATATGTAGGTGCTATCTGAGCCTGGGGATAGGTGTAGATTCCATCTTGGCATACTGGACCATAATTAACATGTGTTGTCTGTGTCTGAGGTTGTGGATGATAATAACCTGTTGTGTCCCAGGTACTGAGTTGTGCCAATATTTTGATCATAACCAAGGTTATATTTGGTAATCATAGTCCCTTGTAGGATGTGCCCAAATAAGGAGATGTGATACAGTGCACATTGGGTTGTTATTACCTGGTTATCAACACCTGTGAATGAAGGACCACCCGAGAATGAACTACATGTTCCATGTTGTTGTTCTGTAGAACAAGACATGTTCTGACTGGTGACTGGATTTGTTTTCCGATGGCAATGTCTGATTTTGTATAGTGCTATTTAGAGGAACTGTCTGTGACTATATAGAGCACTGTACAACCGAAAGAAATTCTGCTGTATACCTGCTGTATTACTATTAGATTCTAATACGTTTTGCCCCTTTTCTGGTTGACTTGAGTCGCCAATAGTGCTCTTTTCCGTGGCATTTTTCAAATCAAATGCAAAAAACCATTCAGAATGATATATGAAAAATAAAAAGATAGACTGTAAATTTACAACCAAAAAAACAGCAAATTCATTCTTAGAACTATATCGTATTTGGTTTAGGCAAGTCTGAATCTATTTTAATATAAACTTCAGTACTGTATAAATGTTTTTTCAGCTATAAAAATTGTATGCGCCTTTTCGTATACCAATTTGCCAATGCGATAACATACGGGCTGAAAAATTACCAGGTCCGAAAACCCTGCCAGCAAACCTGCTTCACGCTCATTCTCAATAAAACACAGCACTTGATGTTCCACTTGGTAGCTCTTATACGAAAGTTTTTTCTTGAGGTCAAAATGTCGTTAGAAAGGTGGCTGCCACTTTGTCTATTAGGGACCACTCTCAGTTTTTACATTTCTATCTGTTATTTTTCTTTTTACAAGTACCATTAATGCCTAAAAATGTAACATACGTTACTGTCGCCACCTAGAATTTTCAACTTTGAAATTGTGTCCCAGAAAAATAAGTTCCAGAATAAACGAAACATGTGCAATTAGTCATTGTGGTGTGTATATGAACTTTGATTATTGGTAAAAATTATATTTGACTGTTAAAATCTCATTGATATAATGGATGATCAAATGTCGCCAAAAGCATATAAATAAATAGTGACAAAACCTTAAACAATAATAAGTGGAACCAAAATTACATAATTGAATCGATGCATGCTTAATAATACAGCATATATATTAATTATAAGTAAAAATAAGCTTGCAGCCTCTCAAATATCATTATATTTTCGGAAATTTTCATTTTTTTATTCAAATCTTTTCAACAGCATTTTAAAAAGAAACATACGTTACCATTATTTAAGAGCCAAACCATTTAAAGAAGAATCCAAACAAGAATAGAAAATTAACATGTGTGTAACTCTGATATATAACCGCAAATTATGGCGGGTTAAACGGTCTTGCGTCATTTTTTTAACCCACTTTCAATGTAAAATGAAACATACGTTAAACTTACAGAAACAAACGTTATCAACTTTTTAAAGTAAGTTTATAAAAAGGGGGATTGAAGCAGAAAGCACGTATAACAGTAACATTAACTTCTATTTGACATTAGTAAGTAAATTTTGATAACTTTGGTCGAGTTTTAACTTGTTTAAGTAACCACAGTGAAACAAACGTTACTTTTATCAAACAGACTTTACATTGTATATTGTTAATGTTAAAACATGCATATATAAAAACATAAAATCGCATTTTTACAAAAAGTAAAATTGTTTTCTCAACCTTTACTTGCATTTGAATAAAATGAAACATACGTGACATCCTATATAGGGGTAAATATAGAACTGCTTAGCAATAAATTTTCCAAATATTAAAGAAGTTAAAAGTTGAATGTTTTGAAAAAAAATTGCTAATACAACAACATTTGTGAATGCATTCGACCTCTCATATATTATATATAATATATAGTGATATCCTTTGAATGAAGACATAAAATAATCATTTCCAAAATTGGACTATTTTTGCTTTCTACGAATATTTAAAACTTTGAAGAAATTAACTGAAAATTTAGCAAGGTACCCAACTTCCTTGAAATTTTCCTTAGGGTTTAGAAAGTCCCTCTAGATAGAGAATTTACAGATTTTGGATATATATTAAAGAACATTTGTTGTTAATATGCAGCCAATATGTTACATTATTAGATCTGAAATCTACGTTACGAAGAAATACAGTGTCATTACCGAAATAAATGCCATCCTGTTATATCATAGTTTCTTGTTCAAAAATATTTCTGGCAAACTTGCAAAATAACCTCTAAAACTTTTACCTCAGCGATAAAAAAAAAATGACACAATGACATCAAATTTTTAAAAATTTTCAACCTCAAATGCTTTATTTTATTGAGAATGGGCGTTAAAGCATCACTTTAACTTTCTTTTGACCTATACAGTAGACCATAAGACAAGCTGGAATAATCTCAAAATTGTTTGTCCAGCTCTATAAAAATATTTCATTATACTTACAATCCATTTAATAGATTTTATAAAAGCCTTAAGGCGTGTCTATTTTTTCAGTCAACATTCATTTAGATCTACCTCCATTGCTAAGCACGAGGCAAATTTCTTTATTTCTAATGTAGATCTTACATTCCAGCTAAATCTGATTAACTATCTTTTTTCCTGACAAAGCACAAAACATTTTTATCTAAAGAAAGTAAATTTAGCTTCTTTTTTACAGAAATTTATAACAAATAGAAATAAAAAGTAAAAATATTTTTCTCCAACCTTTCTCTTCTATGTCCAAACGAAAAAGAACCCCGTTTCTCAGCTTTTTTGGCTACGCTATGACGTAATTTCATAATGACGTCACAATACCATGCGGCCACCATTGTGCGTAATTGAAATAAGGTCTGAAGATTTGTCGCCCTTGGTGATAACTACTATCATTTAAAGACACGCTTGAAATGACAGGAAATTTGTAGAAGGTATTTATCGAATTGATTTTTTAACGGGTGGTTAAAAAAGTGGACAAGGGCTCTTCATCGTTAGACTGGCGAGGCACGTGGTGTGCACAACGCGGTTATACTAAGATTAGAGCATTAAATTATTAATTTTGGGAAACCACGCTTCGACATTACTTGCAAGTAATTAAGAAAATAAGTACAATATTGATTACCTTTCTTTAACTCAAGCAATTGTAACGATTCCTCTCCGTATATGATGTCCGGTTGAATGGACGGTTCTTCTAGTGCCTTCATATCCTTTATAACCGAACTTAATTCTTCCGGACTATTTTCTTCTATCGATACGCGCATGCGTTGACGAAGCAAATCATTCAAGTTTTCTGGAAATTGAAATTGTAGATGTTAAAAACGTTGGTATGTTTTAAAAATGTAACTAACAAAATATTAACCAAGATATTCAATGTCAAAGGAGGGTATTATTCAGAAAATGAAATACATTTGTATATCAAACAGTTATTTGCACTTTAAAATCTATTCTGATTCAAAGACTAAAGAAGTGTTTCAAGTCTGAATTGACTTACTCTGACAGTTTTTGAAAAAATATGATCTGAAAAGAAAAGAAATGTAAAAGGGGCATTACTTTTCAAAACTATTTTTTAAGATTATCTGCCCTTATGAGATAGTGTCATATATTGATAGTGAACATGTATATCAAGTTTGAAGTGGAATACTGTGGTAGTTTCTGAGAAAATGGAACCTGATAAAAGAACACCAAGGTACCGATCATTTAACATTTCAAAGTCAAGTAGAAGAAGTACTTTGTGAGAGGGACACAACCGCAAGAACAAATAATAAACAATAAGCCAGGAATAAATAAAGACATTCGTGAGTATCTAGTAAGCATGCAACAAGAAATGATAACAATTGTTAGTTCACCAAGGTTATAGCTCGAGTTTTTTTTTTTTTTGTACCTGACTTTTCAATCGGCTCTTCAGTGTCCGCTTTGTCCATACTTTTATCTGTTGTCTCATCTAAATATGTTATTGAATTTTGACAATTAATTAAGTCATATTATGACTTAAGGGCATACTCAGGAAAATTAATGACACAAATATATATTATGATTGTATGTACTCAAATCACGCTATATTTAAAATAACATTTTTTAAAGTCCAAGCATGAATTTCTGTATTATTTCCATATATTTTTGGTTTGAAGCGTGAATGTATCTTTCTATATGTTGAACGAAAGTTAGACGCCGACAGAAAGGCCGAGTAATTTTAAAACAAGTCATGTGGCTTTAACAAACCCTGGAAGTTACAATAACAGATATTGTGGATAGTGTATGATTAAAAAGTGTAAGTCATTCATTTGTTTTCAGAGTTCACTGTGACAACAATTGTGAAATCATAACGCCCTAACCTGACTCACGTAGGTCAAGTTAGCAAACCACCATTTTATTCTTTATTAGGAGAACAGTTTGTTCCTGTGACAATCTAGTGTTTTAATCTTGAGGACATTTACAGAAAAAAAAATGAATGAAAAAATCAAAACTAAGAAATGAAAATGTTTGTGTCCCCCTTAAAATAATTAGTTTTTGTTTTTTCTGTTATTTATAATTTGATTTAAGATCTTCTTAACATTATTAGAAAAACATCACCAATACACACGATCCATTCAATCATCGTTTTTTCTTGTAATGAGTTTTGACAATCTACAAACTGTTTTAATAATAATCAATAAACACTTTTAAAATACCTGTTATTTCAACTGTTTGCGCTTCTTGCTTGATCGTAAGGTCCGATTTGACATTATTCTCTTTTCTTTCTTGAAAACCTTTTGGATACCTCTCATTTCCATCTTTTTGATTTGATATAAGTAAAAATTCACAAAATTCTTGCAGATTACCAGCAGGGCTATCTTTAACAGACAGTTTAAGAACAAATTCTCCCTTTTCCGGTGTCACGACGTTAAACATGACGTCACCGTTTTCAACTCGATGAACGCAATAATCTTGAAGTTCTTCCATTGTTTCTCCACCAGTATATACCCTTGCTGTAAAGAACATGTCACCAATCCTCGTCTTGTCAGAAATCCGAAATTTAATTTCCGCTCGTCCATAATCATCCATGTCCACCTCACCAGATAAATGACTGAGGGGAACCAATCCCGTTTCTATAGCAACGCGGCCTGGACCCCATCCTATAGCAGGGTATGGTGGAAACGGTTTGCGTTCATATTTTCCTTCGCTTTAAATGTATTTTAAGCTGATATTAATTAAGCGCAAACAGGCGTTTTGAAAGAACCAATGTTAGATGTTTGTATATCATTTGTTAAAGACACTTTTATCATTAAATTAGGTTACCTTTTGCTATATTAAAATGAGATAAAACGTTTTGTCAAAGAAAATTTGAACTCGGTTGTATCGCAAAATATATATAAAAGTTTCGATTTCATTTGACAAAACATCTAAAAGTGAACTGGTCTATAATTGCAAGTCGGTAAAACAATAGTAATAACGTTATATTATTAAACATGAAAATAAAACAAGAAAGATTTGTATACATTTGTGGCTTTTGTTGACAAATGTTAGATACATTATCATATATTATAATTATGTATTTATAATGCAGATAATTAAATATTCTAGAACAACATAATATTCTATCATCAAGAAATATTGCATAAGAATTCCCAAATGATACAATTCTTGTTTTTACCAATAATTGAAATACTTAATTGAAAATGTGCTTATTGTAGACCAATTCACTCTAAGTTTTTCTTTAAAATATTCATGTATTACCAACACTAAATTTGTGACAAAAAGCATCATTAAGCCTTAAATATGAAACACATCTATAAAAGTTTAGTGATCTTACTCTTTCAAAAACAGTTTACCCTTACTTAAAAATTAATTTATAAATCACTATCCAATCATAGTCGTAGTAATCTCCCTTGATTGTGACGTCCTTGCCAAAAAGCTCGAACCTGTACACGTGCCTCTCCGGTGGCCGTATCTTCACAGTAAGAGTCTTGTTATTGTTTGTGCGGTGGATGAACACATACCGGTCTTTTCTGCTGAAAAAAAATAATACAAAAAACAAACAAAACAACAACAAAAAACACAACACCCGAGTGATGATATGTGTGTGCTAAATTAAAATATCAAGATTATTATCTACCGCCTCAGTTGCAGGCGTTGATAATACATACGTATTTTAATTTTATATCAATTATATATCTTAAACTTAACATCTTTTGTTCCACAATATATGAAACATGTTCCAAGATATGAAAAAATAGCTTAGAAATGGTTACCTTTTCTCGACACCATCCTCCAGAAGGAACAGACGACACTTGAAGTCTATGTTCAATGACGACTGTTGTGGAATCGCGAATTTTAGTTCCACCTGGTTGGAATCACTCACTATAATACACTGTGTATGAGTCAATGTTTGTATATGCAAATTAAAATATCCATCCTTTACATATGCCATGGTCTCAAACTCTGTTTGCGTTAGAGGATCTTTTCTTAGCTGCCATTTTTGACACATTGGTAAATGCGTTGTACCAAATTGATCAGGATCAGTCAAAAAGTAATGGTCATCACATAAATAATACAGTCTAAATGGTGAGTCGCCATTTTTGATGACGTCATCTCCATTCGGATTAATGACATCGTGAGTGACTGTGCCCCAATAAGCGTTAATAAAACGCCAATGTCCGTCGACCAAGACAGCGTTCCATTCACCATAGTGTTTGACCTCGTCGATTCGGTCTCCAACCTCGTATGTTGATCCCTTAACAGCCCCGTGTATGATGACACAGGGTATGTCCGCATATCTGCATATAAGGAAAAAGTTGGTTTCTTCTTGTATTAGATCTATAAATGTTTCTAAAATAATTTATTCTGATATGTCAACAACCGTTTAATGTTAAATAAATATGTTTAAAGACTAAGTTTACCACAAAATTTATTGTGCTTACGGAAATCTAACTGTAATGCTTTCCCGCCAAATCGTAAGAAATCGGTTATTTCAGAAACGTTATGTTTTTTTTTTTTTTTTTTTTCCAAATCTTGGGCATTAGATTATTTAAGATCACTCATCATTTATCTCTATGTACTATATTTCGATTATAAACGGTCAGAGATATTATAAAGTTATTTAATACCGAAGATTGAGAAAAAATTACGTTCCGGAAATTACCGATTTATTACGGTTTTGTCCGATGTTAGAAATTTGGGCGGGGAAGCATTGCAATAGACCGGATTGCAATATTATAACCTGGCCTGGTGTGTATGTATATTAAATTAAAGTATCTGCCATTTTTGATCTACCTGCATAGCTTAGAAACAAGCTCAGCATAACTTTTTTCTTTATTTTTTATACGCCACAGTTCAAATAGAACATGACTCTTGGAAGGTTTTTTCTCCAGTGGAAGGTGATCAATAGGCTGGCCAGTTATCCATCGGTAAATGGCCCGGATTTTGGACATTTCATCGTCATATCCGGCGATAAGGTAGTTCACCAAATCCTTAAATGGTTTTTGATAAAACTTGGTTGGTGTCTGAAGGAAAAAAAAAAAATATAAAAAAATCTTTTTTTGTTTTTTTTATACAGGTTTTTTTCTTTTTAAATATTTTCTTATACTTATTAGAAATGTAACAGATTTAAAACAGTTTAATATACAAATAAACAAGGGGCTGTGGTACAGTAAAATAATCCCGGGGGAATACTGTTATATGAGCGCTAAATAAAACACGCAAATGAGTTTTGTTTCATTTAGAAATCAAAACACAGACCCCTAAAAATAAAAAAAGAAAGATTATTAGCCGTGTACCAAAATAGTGTCCTACCTCTGTTTTAAATCTTCAGTTGTTGCAAACTTTAATCGTCTGGTTTTATTTTGATAAAAATGTGCTAACGATGTTTACTCTTTGTTTTGCTATTTAACCAAGGAATGTAGACGCGAAAAGTACTATTGGTTAAAAAAATCGCTTGAACTACAATCACTTTTATCATGACCTAAGTACTTTAAATGTTGATAGTACTGTAACAGCAACGTGATACACTAACATCTTAACTCCAATTGGCCTATATAATAAAGTGATGAGGTAATAAAATATTTTTTTTTTTTGGGGGGGGGGGGGGGGGTTATGTCAAAACCAAAAAAGCAAAAAACTGGGGGGTTTCCCCCTACTAGCAGGGGAACCTTTAGAACATCGACGCCCCTTAATTAGCTATAAATCGTCGGAAATAAAAGAAAAAAAAAATTTTGAATAAGAAGAATTCAAATGGTATTACATTTGAAAAAATTTTTTAAAATGAACATGTCTTTGACAATAAACGATTTTAATGAACATTCCTTAAACACATTTTTTTGCCCCTTAAATAAATCAGCCCCGGATTAAAAATATTTCAGCTTCTTTGTCGGGGGGTGGGTTGGGGCCAGACCGGATCTGGGGCACTGAGTCGTCGCTAACAAACAATTGTCGCTATATTTAATGTCGGCTGGGGGGAGTAAAACCCCTGAAAACAACGAACTTGCTCTTTTAAATTGTAAATCGTATTTTTTTGTAGCAGTCGTAAAATTTAAAGTGTCCCCCAAAATAGAATTTTGTCTTTTTAATTATTTTTTTTTCTTATAGAAAATGGCATTGGGGATGATTTCATTTTGTTGTAAATTGTAAAGGGGAACTAAATTTGAAAAATAAGCGTGACGGCTTTCAATAGCAATTTGGTTGAAACGTTTCTATGAAATAGTTGTTTAAAAGCTTTTTTTAAAGAAATAGTTTTGAAACAATAATTAAAGTTTGATTTTTTTTAAAAAGAATGTATTAAGAGATTGGGTTTTTTTTGAGACATAAATCATTTAATGTTTGCGGGTTTTTAAGTTACCAAACCCGAGTTTTCGGAATTTTTTGAAAAAAGGGGCTGTGCTTTTAATTAAATTTAAAAATTTTTTGGACAGTTAATTGTTATAAAAACCCCCACTTTTGATTTAAGGTTTTTTTAAATCTTTAGGGTTTAAAGTATTATGTTAGCCAAGTTATCCCCATTTTTTAAGTTTATTAATATTGGAAATTTCATTTTTTGGAAAAAAATTTTTAAACCCATTTCCCTAAGCTTGTTTTTTTTTAAATATATTTTTAAAATATTGTGAAAAGTGGTTTACTTTTTGGAATCCCAAGTGCGTTACGCACTTTTGGCCAAAATTTCCCCAAAGTGTTTTCCAAAAGTGATTTTACATCGACCAAGTTTACGAATAGAAATTTTACTTTTAAAAAAATTAAAAAAAGGTAAATTAAAATTAGTAAGGGTAAAAAATAGCAAGGGGAAATTTTTATTTTTGTTTTTTTTTAATTAAAGATTTGTTTTTTGCAATTAATTAAAACTTTATATTCAGTTATGTGTCTCAAATAATAAAGGCTTTGAAGTGGAAAAGATAAATATATTTGATGTGTAATGAGTGCAATAAATAATACATTAGATCACGTAGATATAACGTTGTTTAAACTTTGTCCATTAACTAGCATTGTGTACCGATAGTTGTAGTGGTTGCGTGATAAACATAATTATTTCAATCTGATTAAAATACCATTTGAAGCGGTGACGACCCATTGAAAACCTGAATTTTCCCTATTGCTATAAGGTTATATATCCAAAGGAGATAACATTTGAGCCGCGTCAAGACAAAACCAACATAATGAGTTTGCGCAGTCTGATCAGGATTCATGCTGTTCGCTATCAGTTTCTTTACTTGTTATAGGGTATAGGGTCTGTAAGCGAACAGCATGAATTCTGATCAGACTGCGCGGATGCGCAGGCTGGTCTGGATCCATGCTGTTCGCAAACCCATTTTGTTGGCTTTGTCATGGCGCGGCTCATATTTATATTTATAACTAATAATCGTTCTTTCTCTGTTGAATGTTGTAGTGCAAGTAAGGTGCCGGGAAAAAATGCACGTTTAAGATGGCTTCGAAGATGGGTGCCAAATAAAATGATTAAGTTGTTAAATCCATAATATGGTGAAATCAATGCCATTTATTGCAGGAATAATTGATTAAACATGATTGTATAAGGTAATTTCTGGAAAGCATTAAATTTATCTATTTTCTGAATTGGTGGTCATTAACGTTTACATTAAATTACTCTGTGTCATTGATATACACTAACGGACTTTGAAAACGCACCAGTTGAGCTTTTGCTTTTTGATAGGGAAGAGCATATTTGATTTTTATTTTTGCATACTATGAGGGACACATGTGTTTATAATTCTCACCTCAAAATTGTTACTGTATCACTGCTTCTTTTATTGAGTTTAAGCCGAAAATACGTGGTAACCGCATAAACAAAAGTCACAACGCAACTTTATTATAAAATATAACAAGTTTGGGTTTTGGCTTAAATCTTTATTGCATTTTATAGGTAACATTTACTGGAAACGTTTTCGTTTTTAATCTGGATTGATGTTTATATCAAAATATAAGGCAAAAGTATTATTTCTAAAGATGAAACACTCTATTTCAAGGCTAAATTAGCAAAATGGGAAGCGCCGCAACATTTACTATATATTCAAACAAAAATTCATCAACTTCGCGTTTTCTTATCATGTCTATATAGTATAGCATTCTTCAATGCATAGCTTGCAGAAAACATAAGACAATATTGTACCTATGTTGACAATTGAATTCGGCGACATGCACTCGCTCGAAAGTAGCGATAGAGCGATTTACCGAACGCAACCGAAAGAGATAGCTCTGTTGCTTTCCAGGCACGGGGTTGGTGGTTAACAGACGACCCGGTGCACTCATTGCCTGTAAGAATGGAAAAGAAATTTACATATAATTTCAATCTATGTCAAGCGTTTGTGTTGATAATTGTTAAAGACACATTATGCTTCTTAAATGTTTTTATTTTTATTTCTCAAAAGCTTTTTAATGTTGGTTTACTTTTATAGTATCACAAACGTTACTTATTGGCCAATTACCTGAACCATCTTTTCATCTGTTGCTTTTTGGCAATTGTAACTGTTATAGTGAATCAGTATTTTGTATGGAAGTCAAAATATTACTTAATTTACATTTTGATACATTTATGACAAATTATTTAACATTTATTGCCTCTTTCTTTAAGTAACACACACATAATATTTTCTAAAAACATTATCTAAAAGTAAAAAAAAATCATGTCTGCACTTTCTAAAGTCGTAAAAAAATTTTTGTTTTGAGGACTAACGTGCCTTTAATTGAAACCACTAAAGGTTTAACGAGGAAGTTAATGACCTCAGATCCCCTTTCAAAGTTCCATTTTATTTAGTTCCGTCATTGTTTTCTCGTTTAGGGCACACGCATTATTTTGATTAATAAAATACGCCGCTATGGAATGGCACGTTAGTGTCACATTGAATGTTCCATGATAACCGCCGTATGAACACATCTGCGGATGTTTTTCAATTCAAAATGTTACCGTTTTCATGTTTAAATTATGAATTCTGCTTAAGCCGGTGCTAGGGGGCGTGGACGGTAGTTTGCACTTGACAGTCCATGAACAGGCTCAATCAAACCGAGCCTCCAACTTTTTCAATTTTGCCGTGTTGAGCTTTCCTTAGGGATTCTTACTTGATTGATTTCCGTGTGATTGATTATCAACAAAAGAAAGAAAATAAATAAACAGGCAAGACAACAACACAAATCAAATTCAAACTACTAGTACATTCAACCTTGTGTCCTATAACTGTGTCCAAAGGACAAGGTTGCCCACAGTTTCATTGTTTGGCCAGTCTACGGACAGACTGCGATAACGTGACAAAGTGACGGTTGGACAAGGGTATATCTATATGTCCCCTAAAGTTGTGAGGAATAAAACCTGCTATAACCAACATAATGGGTTTGCGACCAGCATGGATCCAGACCAACCTGCGCAACCGCGCAGTCTGATCAGGATACATGCTGTTCGCTTACCAACCCTTTAACAAGTAGAGAAACTGATAGCGAACAGCATGGATCCTGATCAGACTGCGCGGATGCGCAGGCTGGTCTGGATCCATGCTGGTCGCAAACGCACTATGTTGGTTTTGTCGTGACCCGGCTCATATCTTAAGCGTTCAAGTAACCGCTCATTATGAAACAATTATTAACACGCTAAAATTTATGATCTGATTGATATAATTAAATAATTTAAATGTTTTAAAAAGAATACCTGCTTTAAGATGCCAGGCGTTACCCTGTCAGAAATCTTTCTTTGTATAACACCGTCTTTATAATTAACCAATACACTTTATCAAGATGTTAAAACTTATAATGAAACAAAACACTTTTATTTAACTTTAACTTTGTCCATTTATTTACACGTATATAATATCTAATAATTGATACTCCTGTAACTAGTTTGTTAAGGAAGTATCGATCAACAAATTTAAGAATTCTTTGTTAAAGATTTTATGTGCTGTCTATTGATATTATCACATTCAGCGTACATTAAACAATTGCATTGTCATATTGATTAGTACTTCAGATTACAATCAAATGATCGCATTTCCTACTTCGTGGTAATTTAATACGTCTATAGTTATGTCAAACTGGCATTTATTATAAGTTTACACTTACAAACTTGCTTGCATGATTTCAGTCGGCCATATTCCCTAGCCATGAATGATAACTCCCTGTTTTCCCTGTCTAAAATTCCACCAAATCATTCCCCTTTCAAATGAACTCGAAGGATGGACCTTTTAAAAGACTTTGTATTTTTTTATTCGATTTTTATTCAGAAACGGACAATTTTTTCTTTACCTTTGTATAATTTGCTTTCTATCTATAATTATATGGTTCCTATGGTAAACATATGAGTTTTGATGGTAAACAAATGAATTTTCTGAACCGAAAGTAATCTAACACACAGCGTTGCTGTCATCACATGTAAACAATACATTAAATCGGTAAGAATATTGAGATATTTGTTTGACTATCAGTTTCAAATGCAAAATATTAATATGGAAAACAACTATGTGTAGTTTATGTGTATTGTTTTAATGTGTTTGTCTGATATTTTAGTTGTAAAAGCCATGTACACTTAGTGT